TACTTAACTTCACTTACTTACCTTGACTTACTTACCTTGACTTACTTAAATTGACTTACTTAAATTGACTTACTTACTTACCTTGACTTACTTACCTTGACTTACTTACCTTGACTTACTTACCTTGACTTAACTAACTTGTCTTACTTCACTTATCACCAAAACTTTACTTTTTATTAAAAAAACTTTACTTTTTCATTAGTAAATTTAGTTAAAGAAGGGTTGGTTTTTTATGATCTTGTTAGCACTTCCTCCGTGTTAACCTCTGGAAATTCGGCGCAGCAAACGCGCCTACTATTGCCCCCGATACGATTTTTCACGCGTTAGAGGTACCACTAGACCATCAGGGCTATTGGTGAAATGGTTATGTTTTTTATTCTACTTAATCATTTTCCCTTCGACTCTATAATTAATGAACACACTTGTTGAGGCCCAAAATGCTTTTTGACTACAGCGGGATTCGAAACTGGGGTCACACACTTGCAACACTTTGTCCTTACCACTAGACCATCTCGCCTACACTTGCTTTAACTCTTTTTTATTCTACTTAACTCTTTCTCGTCTCGGGTGGAATTAATTAACAACGACGCCTGACATTAAAATGCTCTTGGCACAACCACGACTTGAACCTGGCTTCACGCACTTGCAACACTTTGTCCTTACCACTAGACCATCTCCGCCTACACTTGCTTTAATTTTTTTTATTCTACTTAACGCTTTCTCGTCTCGGGTGGAATTAATTAACAACGACGCCTGACATTAAAATGCTCTTGGCACAACCACGACTTGAACCTGGCTTCACACACTTGCAACACTTTGTCCTTACCACTAGACCATCTCGCCTACACTTGCTTCAATTCTTTTTTATTCTACTTAACTCTTTCTCGTCTCGGGTGGAATTAATTAACAACGACGCCTGACATTAAAATGCTCTTGGCACAACCACGACTTGAACCTGGCTTCACGCACTTGCAACACTTTGTCCTTACCACTAGACCATCTCGCCTACACTTCTTTAACTTCTTTTTTATTCTACTTAACTCTTTCTCGTCTCGGGTGGAATTAATTAACAACGACGCCCGGCATTAAAATGCTCTTGGCACAACCACGACTTGAACCTGGCT